TATATATTAGACGGTTTCTGTTGATTTGCCAAATTGTGTACTCTGGACGAGGCCACACCAGGTAGCCTCCTACCTGTCTGCCTGAGCCAGTGGGTGCTCTGGTGTGGTCTGCTTCTTCTTTCCTATCAAACATCTATCCTCCTTCTCTCCCCTGCTTCTTTTTTATGTTTGTTACTCTCTTGTAACACCTCTTATCTTCTGGCGCTCACATGACCTTATGCAGTTGCGAGCGCCGTAAAACCTCTACTAAAACTAAACTAAGACTGCCGCCTTCCTAAAGGAGGCCAGCCAGAGGAAGGAAGGAAGGAAGGATTTGCCTAATTGGTGGATAGCGCGACACATTTTGTGGATTCATGGAATTCCCACATCCGTTGATTGTTGGGCATTTTGTAGTTACAAAAAATGCATGATTTAGTCATACGTATGACGTTAACTTCCGCTTAGCGCAATGTCAACAGTATGAATATGGACGCTCATTTGATGTTGACACCTCATATCATAGCAGAATAGCGAAACGCTCGACACTCGTGTAAGATCTAAGATCCATCGCGCATTCTACGGATCCACAAAAAGGACTGCATGATCCACTGATGTAATGTGAAATGCACAACAATCGATGGATAGTGGTAAGTGTTTTACGACAGTTGCAGCTGCATAAGGTCATAGGAGCACACGGGACGCACTAAACATTTTCAGCAAGTAGGAAATTTTGAATTTTGCCCATGTGGCGGCCGAAGCCTACTCTTATTGATTTTGGACCACAAGGGATCTTTAATGTGCACAACTTGCATATGGGCCCTCTGTGATTTTTCGCCCTTATCCAAGAAGGTAAGGTGTTAGATCTTACCTACCATAAGATCAGGGGTGTGGCAGAAAGACAACAGTAAGAAGGATCCTAGGAGTAGCAGTAGAAAGGCTGCAGAAAGAGTCATGAGCCTAGAGGAGGGGGCAAAGGAGGTGAGGGGCTGGGGGCAGAAAGTGGAGATGAAAGCAGACGACTGAACAATGTAGGAGAGCAGGAAAGGAGGTGAAAGGAGACAATTTAAGAGAAGAAAATTTTCCGTCGCTGGCCAGATTCGAACCTGAGACCTATTGATTGAGAGGGGAACACCATAACCTCTCGACCACAAGAGCCCCCATGTACTGTCTACTGAAACTTTGTATCCCTCTCAGCCTGGATTGACCCTAACTGGCAGATCTGAAGCTGCTCGCCTCGGAAATGATCTAGATATGTTTGGATGGAGGCATGAAACATCTACATTTTTTTTATTATACACACACACACACACACACACACACACACACACACACATACACACACACACACACTCTCACACACACACATACACACACACA